GACATCCCCAAATTCACGATCATTTTAATATTTTTATTTATGCTTATTTGAAAATCAAAGTATTCATTTTAAAGAATAATATTGCGGAATTTGTTCCCAGAAAACATGATAAATATATTATCAAAGCATTTCTTAAGAAATGTATTTTTGTTTATATTAAAACTTTGGGATGTCAAAGTCAATACAGAAACATTAGCATAAACAGACCTTACATTCATTTACACTAGTTATTTACATATCCTTTAATCTCTTAGTGTAATGTAACTTCGTATCGACACTTGTGATACAAATAAACTGAGTGGGTCAGGTTGGGAAACCTGGTGCGTACATTAGGTTTTCAAACCACAATAATAAAGTTATTATGTTTCATCATGAAACAATTAACCCAATTTCCCATCCCCATTATCTTCTTTATTCTTAAGGATCTACCCTAAGAATCGTCAATTCATCATTCATTCATTCCTAAGGATTGTCCTAAGGAATAGGCACGAAGTCCATCGCTGCCAGGGTTCATCCAACAGGCACTAAGTCCATAGCGACCAATGTTATCTGTTAGACACTAAGTCGATAGCTGCCAATATCTATTTATAGGGCACTAAATTCATACCTGCCAACGTTCATTTGTAAGGCACTAAGTCCATAACCGCCAATGTTCATTTTTAAGGCACTAAGTCCATAGTTGTCGGGTTTATCTATTTGGCACTAAGTCCATAGCTTCCAGGGTTTATCTAACTGGCACTAAGTCCATACTTGCCAATGTTATCTATATCATCTTTCATCTTTCATGATTCATCTCATCTTTCATCTCTCATCTCATCTCATCTTTAATCTACCCATCTTTACCCATCATAATTATAGGTATAAAAAATGTATACAGTTTAAATCAAATAAAACATGTGTATTTTGTTCATCCAACATAGATATCAAGAATAAAAATCAACCGATCTAAAACTCGATTTCCGGGCTGTGTATTGTTTTTGCGAAATCTTAGAAAAATCACAACTTCCTCAAACGAAGTCATATTTGGACGTTCTTTTTATGTACATTCTTGGTTTAATGTACACTGCGACTTTCGTTTAGATTGCTAAGGCTAAAAAGTAATTTATAAAAAAATCACTTTTTACCTTACGCGATGTCGTGCCGGTTTAGCCGTAAAACTTCGATGGGTCATAACTTCTTCGTTATAACTCGGATTTAAGCATTCTTTATATGTATGGAACCCTTGTGAAATATACATTAACTTGGTTAAGATTATTTAATCGAAATAATTTTCTATCAAAAATTCATTTTTGACGCTTGTTGTCTCTAAATTGACTAGCCCGAATTAGCGGGTGTTACAATGAGTACGTTGGGCGTATGCAGGTCAGAGTCAAACCCTAATTTCTGGGTTTTGGACCCTATTTAAATGCCTTAACCTCTTGGGAACCCTCCTTACCTTCAGCCTCCACCCTTTTAAGTTGTTCCCTCGAAACCCTAGCCTCATTTGAAAGATTATTGAGCCTTTAAGAGATTTTGGTGTGATTTTGGTGCATTTGGAAGAAGAAGAACTCATTGGAGAAGTATTGGTTGTCTTGTAATTTGTAGATCCATTCCTTGTTCACCTTGATCTATCTTATGGAGGTATAAAGCTTCAAAATTGATGGTTCATTGATGTAGATATAGCCTTAGGTCATGTTATTAGCATGTTTTTGTCCCACAGTTTGGATCTTGTGAGTAGAAGTTATTCTAGAATCTTTGAGTCCCATTTTTAGTCATTTTTTGAGGTCACTAAGTTATAAAAATCGAATATTTATGAGTAGATATCTACCAAGCATGCGTTGGTGGTCTTTTGGTAAAGTTATGAATCTAGGGATTTGGTTTCGATCCCATTAAGCCATGCAAAGTCATAAAGTCAGGGAATTTAAGAAATCCCTTAGAGATTAGATCTATGATTTGGATGATTTGGTATTAAGTATTAAGTGCTTAAAGTGAGAATTGGCCATCATATGTACGTTGAGCGTATTGTATTGATCCCCCATTTTTCTCGTTGTGACGACTTGTACGCTGGACGTAATCTGGTGGTGTGCTTAGCATACTCACAAGCTGGGCTTTTAGGCCTTGAACTAGCTTGATCCATTATTAGGCCATAAGTCCTTGTGGGTTTGGGGCCATAGTTAGGCCTTAGGTATTTTTGGATTTGAGTCATTTCTGAGCCTTGGGCCTTTTATGGCCTAATTGTTAATTAGGGTTTTATTATTTGTGATCTAGTGAGGGGATTTTCCAGTTTAGCAGCCCGAGTTTTTTTGTTTATCAACGGATCGAGGTGAGTCTCTTCACTATACTCGTGGGTCGAAGACACCAATGTCGGCCCATTGGATCATGCTTGTAGGATGATAGGGGTCTTCATGACACTTTTTTATATGTATTTATGTGCTTGTTGTCTTTGTGACTCTTGCATGTGTATGTAGGCAGGGCCCGTTATGTTGTGGACGGGGCCCGTATGCGATTTAGGCGGGGTCCATTATGATGTGGGTGAGGACCGTATGCAGTTCAGGTACTTTCGGTTCGGAAAGGAAGGGTCTGACGTAACTGCACAGCATCCCCCAAAGTTTATTCTGCATTTGATGATTTTTACACTGATGTTAAATACTATTTCATCTTAAATGGTTTTGAGAACAAATTTGTTATATGAATTATTGTTATAAAAAATGAAAATTGTACATTGGATTTTCGGGACGTTACAGGGAGACTGTTAGATTAAGGTGTCTAAGCCAGTATCTAAATTGATATATTCTTTTAATTAGAAGCAAAGTCCTTTTTGGGTTGCCCTCATAACCAAAAATAGATAAAAATGATACTAGGAGAGAGACGTATAATTTTTTAGATTATAATATGATTAATAAACTAATTGGAAATTATGGGAAAATGATTTGTTAATATATTGTGCGATTAATATATCAATTAGAAATAGACAGTTGATTTGTTGATTTATTATGTGATTAATAAATTAATATGAGATCAATTGTTAAATAATTGATTTGTTAATTTATATGATTAATAAATTAATGTGAAATCATTTAGAATTGATTAATTGTTAATTAAAATTAATCTAGAATTATTTTGAGATTAATCGGAATTAATTAAAGGTGCAAGTGGTAAATTGTAATTGTTCAATAGTCGAAAAAAGGAGAAATTCGAGAATTCTCCACGGTATGGACGGTTTTGGAGGGTTTCCTAGGGTTTCTGGAAGCCTCCTGGTTGCATAAAACGAAAGGATTTGAATTAGTAATTAAATATATTATTTAATTAATTCAAATCTTACTTTGCCTGCAAGTTACCTAAAGGATAAATAGGACCCCTTGGCTTGCAATTTTCGTTCGCCACATTCCCTAAAGGCATAGGAACTAAATTCCATTCATATCTCCTCATTCTAGGGTTTTTGGTTTTGGGTGTGAGCCATTAGAGGCATCATCCTTTTGGTGCTTGCTTTCCAAGGAACGTCAAGAGTATTTGATTTGATTATTTGCCATAATAATCAAAATGTATGTAACCCTAATCTTTATGTTAATGTCGATTTTCATAGCCTCTCTCTAGGGTTTCTTGATGTTCATAGTTTATTGCTATCAATAGAGAAAACATAGATCATTTCTAAGTTGCATGTGAACTTGAAGGGGTTAAAGTGTTTTTCCGCCACATGAATTTTATAACCTTGAAAACCCATCAGCATCTTCTTCTGTGTTATATGTTTTACTAAAAATTAACAAACTAATTTCGTAACCAAATTAATAAGTGTGGTGTGATGTTTAAAATAAGTTGTTGAAAACTGTAGTGTTAAAGATCTTGAAATTTGCCAAAGATCTTGGTTATGCCTAATATCCTGGGAAGAAAGTAGTTATCTTCATAAAACTGTTTAATTAAGTTGATTCTTTTTAAAGTGTAAGCCAGTGTATTTGAAATATTTGGGAAATAAATAATGTTAAAATGATTAATAAGTGATTTTGAGTAAGAAAGTAGCAAGATACTCGAAAAGATATCAAGATACAACAGAATATCTTGATATGTTGATATGAAAACTAAAAAAACAATCAAATAAGTATGCAATAAATGTTGTATTTGATTAAAACAATCATAAATGAGTTAAACCAAATCAAGAACACATGGATATATGAGGAAATCCCTTAATCCTTTTTGATCTCCGACATAAAACCTGGGGAGGTGATAAAATCATCTTCCTCAGAACTTATATTAAATCATAAATAAAAGTTACACGTGCTACCTGATCTTAGAAAGAATGTGAGTGTGCTCAAGTGTCTAAAGAATCAGAGAAGAAAAAGTGAAAGTGTCCATGTGTGCATTGATCATGTAGTGTTTAGTACATAACAAGAATAACTAAAACCCCAACATTCTTGGGATTCTCCTTTATCTTTTCCTGACCCGACTTTCTCGGGATTCTTCAACGTTCATGAGGCATTGACCACGTGTATTTGATTTTTTCTTATCTCTTTTTCTTTAAATATTAAGTCCCTACATAAGATATCACAATAAATATGGTGGCAGTCCAAGATACAATATAAATCAAGGATCTTGGGCTTGCTCGAGATGTTAGTTTACAAGATATTAAAGTGGTAAGTCAAAATTTCTACCCACAATAATTCCCCCCATAAATCTTCAATCCAAGATCCTGGATGATTGGATATTTCTAGCAAAAAATGGTTCATGTTGACGTGACGTGACCCATATTTCCAGGGTTAATCCTATAGATTGATTATCCCGAGAGGTTTGAATTTTGAATGGTTGAGATTTCTGCTCGACAAACCTCTTATAAAACCAATGCATTGCATCGTTCTTTCAGTCATTCTATGAGCATTAGGGTTTTCGTCTTAGGTAATTGTTCTATTCTCCCTTTTTGTATTATTTGTTTGTTGTTTCTACAAGTTTCCTTTCTCCATTGGTATATCCTTCCTTTCCCTCCGTTGATTTCTAAGTTTTTTTATGTCACCAAACTTTCTTATGTCTGATTCATGCTCGTTACTTGGAATGTATTGTTTTGGATTCACCATCTTAATGAAACTGAAGGTTCTAACCTTGGGATGTCCGAAATAGCGAGCATCTATAATTATAAACTCCAAACTTTTGGTTATTCTCATGTGGTTGTCAAAGTGAAGACTAGTAGTTCTCACTTAGTCTTAAAAAAGTTCTCCTACGGATCATGATTGGAAAGGGATGTATTTTTTCGTTAAGACTTTTTCCCTAGACAAGACCTTCTTTCCCAATATTGGCTAACTGAGGGTAGGAGTTGTATATTTTGGTTATTTTTATTTCTTGTGTTTCCTTTATTTCTTATTTTCTTTTCTTATCCTTGGTCAGTCCTCAATTTCGATGAGATTTGTCATTCTCAAGAGCATACTGAAGAGAAGGCCTGGGAATTCCTGGAGCATTCAATATAAAAAACAAATTTTGGAGTGGTAGAAGCTTGCCTTTCAAGGAATTTTAGCTTATCCATTGCGATTGAAGATCCAAAATCAACCATTTCTATAGGTATGATGCAATGTTTCTTTATTTGAACTATTCTTATCTTGGCTAACAATATTGTCTTTTGCTTAGGTGCAGGGAAAACTCATTCAGGTGCTCTCCTCACCTCTCCTTTCAATGTGGATGACTTGAAGGATCAACTGGACAATATTGAGAGCAACACTAACACATTCACTACTATTTCAATTTTGGAAGCTAGGTTGAAAATGGTGGAGGATGTTGAGAAGAATAGGGTTGATTCCTTGGATAAGACCAAGTGGGAGCAAGATCTGAAGAAGTTTAAGGGTGATGAGTAGGATGATGAGAAGGTTGGAGAGGGGAATTTTGAGAACTAGGATGTGGAGGGTTCGAAGAAAGGTGAGGATATGACTTCTTGATGTGTTCTGATTTGTTGTTTGTTGGGTTTCTTGAAAAATTACATTTGGTTAATGTTTTAAGACAATCTATGGTTTGTAATAGTTATGCTAGGTTATGCATGATTTAGGGAGACATGGTACTCTTTATTTTTTAGATGATGATGGGTGGTTTTAAATAATTTTTTAGAAAAGTTTATATATGTTTGAATATATTTTCTTAGGATCATAGAAAAAAATTGAAATTCTAATTTTTCCTCCAAAAAAGATGTCCCAAATAAGAATGTTTTTAGGAGTAAAACATTTACTTTTTGAATAAAACATTAAGTGTCCAATATAGGCTTAAATGAAAGATTTCAAAATAGAATCATAGGGTAAAAGGATCTGTGTTTAAATACTTAGAATAATTAAAATAAATTTTTGACTTTATACTTTATTCTTAAAGATATATTTGAGAAAATATATTTTGATAAAATATGTTCATGGATGAAAATAATTTTCATGCAACATGGAAAAAAATTGAGTGTAAGGTTGAAAATGTGAGACATTGTAAAAAAGAAGGTTTAGAATTATGAGTAGGAAACAATCTCATAACTCAAGAGTGTTATGAGGATTGTGTACCTTATGTCTGATATCTTGGGATGAAACCGTAGGATGATATCTTGAGCCGAAGTGATTGTGTTTGTTATCTTGAGATGAGTTCTCGGGATAATATCTTGGATAGATAATATTTTGTTGATATCTTAGGAGGCTCCTGTTCTTTTAAAATTTTGATTTATATCGTAGATACGGATGTCTCTGTCTTAGTGAACATGACCATGTTTCACCAATTAACAACATAGAAATGCGATAAAACTTGGGATACTTCATTCAAGGATAGTTCCCTTGGGATTTTCCACATCCTTGGGATATTCGCTTGGCTTAAGTTTAACATGTTGATGTTAAATGTGTGGGTATAATTTCCCAGCTTTACGACATTCCCGTATCATTCCATTAATTTTTCTTAAATTATAACAAATAGTTAGTAATATGGAGCTTTTTGGTTACTAAAGTGTAAGTCGATCCTCATATCCTTTGACCATCACAAAAAATCATGTGACCAAGCGAGGTGTTTAAACCTAATCTCATAGAAAGATGTTAGTCTTTACACCTTAGAAGGTATCTTGGATACCTTGGATCTTAGGAGGGGTGATCAACCAATTAAATGCTTGATCGAGATCTTTGTAGTTTGCAAAACAAACATGTTGGGTAAAGGGTGGGTGTTATCTTGGTTAAAACCTATTTCATGCTCAAGTTAGTATCAAGAATAATAATTTATAATTGATAATTAAAATCGAAAGGAAAACACACATGGATATCTTAGACCAAGATCATGCATTTTAGACAAAATAGGTCCTGAGATGTATAGCGTTCCAAGATATTGATAAAACTTGACCATCTAGTGTGGATAACCAGTATCCCCTTTCTAGCCTCTAAATCTATAAGGTAAGGACCTTCCCATTTTGGAACAAGTTTCCAGGCACTATGTTCAGTTCTATTTGTGACAACCCGAAATTTCTATTCTGTACAACCATTCACTTCAATAGGAGTCAAAACAGTTTTTGCTAATTTTCAAGCTTTTTGGAATAAGTTTGAGTATTTTAAGATTAGTACTTCAGGAGATATCAGGAGAGAGGATGCCCTAGGGTTTATTGTGTAACAATATTATTCCAAGACTCCAAGAGTTTGGAGTTTACGGCCTAAACAAAGGTGTTTACGGCCGTAAACCCTAAAAGGGGGTATAAATATGACACTTAGTCATATTTTACCATTTTTCACATTTTCAAGATCCAAATCTCAATTCTCTCTCAAGTATCATCCAACATTTCTTCAAGATCTTCAACTTGTAAGTGTTTCTTACCCTAATAAGTAGATATATACCTTAATCTAGTGATCTAACATGATTCCATCCGTGAAATCATTCCAAAAGTGTAGATCTTCAAGTTTCACCAAGAACACCAAGAACACACACTAGTGTTCTTGGACTTTTAGCACCTTTTCAAGCTTCTACCTAGTCAGTACTTCTATCCTAGAGTGTTATAGAGCTTGTTACACTTCTAAACATCAAGAAAACACCCAAGAAACCAAGGATCAAAGGTGTTTATGGTCCAAGATGTTCTTGGACCGTAAACCCCAAAAAGGGTGCCACAGTGTGCCCTAGTCCCTTATAAGCCTTGGAAACCAGCCTAGATCCCTTCCTTGATGTGCTTAGTACTTGAAAACATCAAAAGACCATAAATCATTTGGGTTTACGGCTGTAAACCCAAAGGGAAATGGTCCAAGGACCGTAAACTCCTAAATGGAGTGAAATGGTGCCCTAATCTCTTCCTAAGGCTTAAACATGAAGTAAGAATGCTTCTTGTGATCTTTAAGGCTTCAAAACACAAAATGGTCAAAGAAACATGAGTTTACGGTCGTAAACTCCTGGGTTTACGACCTTAAACTCAATGAGTTATGGTCACAAAACCGTAAACTCCAATAAAGGGTTCCCTTGAACCCTAAACTCAATAGCAATGTGTCACACCCCGAAACCGGCGGCGGAATCGTTCCGGGGCGGAGGACGTCATACGTAGTATCACAACCATTAAACATAGTAATCATAGTAAACACAACCATTACATTACATAAGAAAAGTTACATTCGTTTGAGAGTGGAGAAATACATAGTTTATATACATCAGTATATCAAAAGTAAAGACGAGACTTCTATACACTCCGTCTTCTCCAAAAGTAACGGGATACCTGTCTAACGAGAACCTGAGAATACAAGCAGTTTTAAAATATCAGCATAAAGCTGGTGAGTTCATAAGCATGTTTTGTAAGGAAAACCGATTATTTAATCTTGTGATAAATAACTCATTTCCTTTAATAAAGATTATTCTTATATTGAAAACCATTGTTACTGAGTTATGAATTACATAAGCATGTTTTCCCAGAAAATCCCATATTTTCTAACATGTAAGTTGGTTCCATAAAATGAGGAAAAACCTTGACTAATCATCATAAGTTAAGAAAACCATAAGTTTAGCATCCTGGAATTCCCCTCCCGTACGAAAGTAGGTAGTTTTAATACATAAAATATAGATGAAAGAAGAAATCGTGAATAGAGTTAGTTAATTTAGTACGTATTGTGAGTCGTAAAACCATACTGATTTGACCGTGACCTCCTTGACGTTCTTCAGGCGTCGTTCGATTTCCAAAATTTGTCACCCCCGCGTGCCCGCCTAACTGTAGCTAGCAGTTTAGGTGTGGGTGTGGGATTGTCAGTCCCGAATAGATCTATCCACAAATTTCACGTTCTCCCTCCAGGAGACTCTGGTTATACTTCCGGAGAGGATTTACTAGTAACCCGAAGGGTATATCGAAGACAAGTCTCACAAGCTAGTATTAACTAAATCACGTGATAACTGGTCGTCATAGAATTTCGAAATCTTTTGGAACATAGTAGAGTATAAATAATTAAATACAAAGTAATTATTTAGAATGATACTCTAGGTTTAACATGGATAAACTTAATCAGACATAGTTTATATATATTGACTTTGCATGAAATCTGAATCCGTAAAACAAGTAATAAAGATCCCAAATTATTCCCATAATAATTGAATGGTTTGAGAAGTTTTCACGCTGTTCTGAAAACTATGTAATTATATTTAGAAATCGTCCCTTATGCTCCGCATGTTACAAAAGGGATACCGTATCTAAAGTTTGACAGAAAATCGTATAATTACATCAGTTTTTAAGTTACAAAAACCTTTATGATTTGCTTGTATTCCCCCCCATGAAAAATGAAAACACGAACAAATGAAGGAAAAATGAAGAAATGGGGAATGAAACTCACAACGAGAAATGTGCCGGATAGGATGCTAAGTGCAATTTTAGGGCTTGAACACGCGCCAAGGATCCTATGTAAAAGAGGAGATACATAATTGTATCTAATTAGACATTGAAATACTAATTAAGTAAGATGATACACCGAGGCGCGAAAACACTTTATTTCAATGTGTTAGGAATGATTCGGGTTGCATCTAAGGAGTGTTGGGCCTTGATATGGAGTTTACTCTTCAAGTGTAAGCCCTTAGGGGTGTTTACGGTCCAAAGACCATATCCCATGAGTTTACGGCCGTAAACTCTGGGAATGGTGCATTTGGGTGTTTCAAGGTCTCATGCTTCACAAGGAAGGGTTCTAGGTTGATTCAAAGGCTTAGGAAGTGTTTTGGGGCTTGGAATGGACCCTTTATGGAGTTTACGGTTCTGAACACTCCTTGGGGAGTTTACGGTCGTAAACACATGGTTTTACGGCCGTAAACTCATGTGTGTCCATTTTTCATGTGTTTTGGGTGGTTGTAGGTCGTGCATGCAAGGTTCTAGACCCAAATGTAAGCCATAAGGTGTTAAGGGCACTCTTAAACACCCTTTGGAGGTGTTTACGGTTTTGGGAGACCTTCCCAAACCGTAAACTCATGTTTACACTTCTCAATCCATGTTTTTAGGGTTGTAAGATCATTCAAGCAAGTTTCTAGGTCATTAGCCAGCATTGGAAAGGTTTTGGGGGGCATCAAACCCCTTTTTAGGGTGTTTACGGTTCATGAATGTTCATGGACCGTAAACCCATGTCTAGACCATAAAGACATGATTTTGGTTGTTCTAAGTTCATGCATGCAAGTTCCTAAGCCCTAGCTAAACATTAGAAGAGGTTTGAAAGGGTTTGGGGCTTCAAAACCCCCTTATGGGAGTTTACGGTTTGGGAGGTGTTCCCAAACCGTAAAACACAAGTTTTTGGGGTTTTTGAGAGTTTAACCCATAGATTTGCATGCATGTTAAGTTAAACAACAAGCTAGGAAGGATTACTTACGATTTTGGAGCTTGAATGAGGTGATTCTTGATCAAAACCAGATTTTTAAA